TATAGATATATACATGTAATATAAAACTATATATATATATATATATATATGCATGCATATCTGGACATGATTATATGCTGCATATATATAAATATGATATATTTTGTGTGTTTTGTTTGCTGCTGCAGCTGCCTCTTCATCTGTCTCGCTATGTGCTGCTGCTGCTGTACTGTCTCTACGCTTTTTTAAGCGGAGCAGCATATTTCAATTGGGGTCCGATGTCTCAGCTGCTGTATGCGTCCGGAGTGTATGAGTGGAAGTGCACTCAGCAGCAGCAGCAGCAGCCGCAGCAGCAGCAGCCGCAGCAGCAGCAGCAGCAGCAGCAGCAGGAGCAGCAGTTTGCTGCTGCAAGAGCAGCACACGAACCTCTATGTAAGGAACAAGAAGCAGCTATGGGGGTCCTCTTTTCAGTTATGAGCTGCAGCGAGTTTGCCTTTGCTGCTGCTGCAGGTTTTGCTGTTGATATGTTAGGCCCTAAGATAGCAGCAGCAACAGCAACAGCAGTTGCTGCTACTGGTTGGCTGCTGCTGCTAATCCCTTCGACTCCACATACACCCGACGCTCAAATTGCTGCTGCTGTGCTGCTAGGCAGCAGCAGTGAGTTTTGCTTCTACCCTCTTCTGTCTGTCTCTTATTTGTTTGAGGAACGAAGCTCAGCTATCTTGGGGCTGCTCGGTGCATGCAGGAGTCTGTCTCTTCTAATCCCTCTGGTTCTTAGGGCTTGCTGCTTGCAGCTGCAGCTGCTGCAGCTCCGTGCTGCAATTATCATATTTGCTGCTGCTTTCTTAGGGGGCTGCTGTCTCCTTGTGCTTTTTATCTTACCCAACAAGCCGTTCACACCGCAGAAGCAGCAGCAGCAGCAGCAGCAGCAGCAAGGGCTGAAAGACAAACCCCTAGACAGCGACTATGAGCAGCAGCAGCAACAGAAGCAGCAGCAGCAGCAGCAACAAGCAGCAAACAAATCTTCACATCAAAATTCTATACAAACGCAAGACACTAACACATCCTTGCAGCTCCTGCCGCAGCAGCAGCAGCAGCAGCAGCAGCAACAAGTGCACCCGTTGGAGGAAGTAGAGATGCAGCAGCAGCAAAAGGAGCAGCAAGAGCGAGACCCGGAACTGCAGCCGCAGCAGCAGCAGCAGCAACAGCAGCAACAGCCGCAGCAGCAGCAAATAGAGCTGCAGCAAGTCAATGTTCAGCAACCACAACAGGAGAAGCAGCAGGAGCAGCAGCAGCAGCAGGAGGAGGAGGAAGAGAAGCTGTCTCTTGTTTCAGAGTTGTTTAGTGTTAGTTTTATTGTAGGAAGCTTATCTTTTGCGTGCATAATATTATTAATTATGTTTTTTATATCTTTTACTTGGCGTCTTATACCTGCAGCTCTCTGCATGCATGAAGTGCTGCAAGTTTTATCTTTCTTAATCTGTCCTTTGATGGGGCTGCTTGCAGATAAGACAGGGATATTAATATTAATGCAGCTAATAAACGGTTGTGGGGTGCTGCTGTATGTGCTGCTGCTAATAAATGCTGCAGCAAGCTGCACGCTGCTGCAGCAGCTTGCTGCTGTATGCAGCGCTATACAGGTTAGAGACAGCATTTATCTGTCTCCTTCTCTCTTTCTTCTCTCTCTTTATTATCTTTGCTTCTTTTATTATCATCGGCCTTCTTAGCTTGTTTTTGTTTTACATTTGTTTGTTTATTTGTTTGTTTATTTATTTGTTTGTTTATTTATTTATTTTATTTATTTATTTGTTTATTTATTTCTTTGTTTGTTTGATTGCTCGTTTGTTCTTCTTACTCTGTTTCGTGCCTTACATGGTTGTGTTTATTTAATTATTATTTGTTTACTTCTTATTTGTTTGTTTGTTATTTATTTGTTTGTTTGTTTTATTTGTTTGTTTATCATTTACATTTATTTATTTGTTTATTTATTTTTATTTATTTGTTTGTTTATTTGTTTATTTGTTTATTTATTTTTTGCATTTGTTTGTGGCGTTTGTTTTATTTCTTTTTGTTTGTTTGCTGCTTGTTTATCTGAGACATCTATACACAGACGCCTGCTGCTGCTGCTGCTTCTGCTATCCTGCTGCTGCTGCTTCTGCTATCATCCTGCTGCTGCTGCTGCTGCTGCTGCTGCTGCTGCTTCTGCTATCCTGCTGCAGCTGCTGCTGCTGCTGCTGCTGCTTATGCTATCCTGCTGCTGCTGCTGCTGCTGTTGCTGTTTGGTCTCCATCTAATACTTCTTTTTGCTGTATTACCTAATGATGTATTTATAATATATTAATTAATTTATATATATATTTATTTGTTTATTTATATGTTTATAATTAATTTTGTTATACTTAATTAATTTCCTATCATCAGTTATTTTTTATCTACCAGTTAATAAACTACACAGCAATAAATAATAAAATAAATAAATAAGTAAATAAATAAATAAATAATTTATTTATTTATTTATTTTGTGTGTTTGTTTGTTTTAGGTGTCATTCATGAGCTCTCAGTTATACTGCTACGCTTCTACATATTTTTCAGCAGCAAATAATACAAAGTTAATAGGCTTAGCGTTTTGTTTTGCAGGATGTTTTTCTTTAATAGGCAGCCCCATGCGTGTGCATGCGCTGAAGTACGGTGTGCATGCAATGCTTTCGGTTTTACTTTCTATAGGCATCTTTGCTGCTGGACTTTTAACTGTCTTGCAATTTATCGATAGTAAAGGGTTTCTTACACCCCGCACATCAATTATACATTTAAAACACAGACATAAACAATAAAACTAAACTCCATATGCATGCATGCATGCTTATATGCGCATGCATGCGTCTGCATGCATGCATGCTTATATGCGCATGCATGCGTCTGCATGCATTCATGCAATGCATGCATTGACATGCATGCATCCTTGCATGGATTAGATATGCATAGATCCTTGCATGCATGCATTGACATGCATGCATCCTTGCATGCATCTGCATGCATGCATTCTTGTGTGTGGGGTTAGTTGGGTGTGGGGGGTTGTTGGGAGGAGAGGGAACGCATGCAGTTTTGCCTGCATGCATTTGCATGCATGTGCATGCATTTTTCGGATGCATGCATGCATCGGTGCATGCATGCGGGCCCGGCATAGGCATGCGCGCATGCATGCGGTTTTTTATATGCACAGGCGTTTCTTTATACTGCATGCATGCCGATGCATGCAGATGCATGCATGCATCCGCATGTATCTGCATGCATGCATATGCATGCATGCATAAGCATGCATCTGCATGCATGCATTTGCATGCATTTAGACATGTGTGTATGCTTGTATGTATATGTTGACGCATGATATATTGTATAAACAGAAATATACATATACTTGTATTGCTGACAATACACACGGATAAGGGATGCATAGTCTACGGAGTGCACGCATGCATGCATCTGCATGCATTTGCATGCATCTGCATGCATGCAGATGCATGCATGCATTTGCATGCATGCATGCTCTAGGCGTATTTGTTTTTGAAGAATACAGCAAAGTAGTATAAAACTATTTTCCTGAGATTTTGTTGGGGTTTAGGGTTTGTTATTATTAGGGTTTAGGGTTTAGATGCTGCCTTAAGTGTTTAGGGTTTAATTGCTGCTATTAGGGTTTATGAATTGATGCTATGGTAGTAGGGTGTAGCTGCTGTTTATTAATGCTCTTCCTATGCATGCATGCATGCATGCATGCATGCATGCATGCATGCATGCAATGGTGGGGCTTTATAGGAATTTTGAGGAAATGTTTATGCACCTCAAGACCTATATATTTTATTTTATTATATTCTATTACGACTCATTTCTATATTTTATTTTATTTTTTTATATTTCTTAGAAGAGCTAAAGCAGACAAATTAAAAACCCCGAGGTGTACATACACCAGAGGGTGGTTGCGGCTTCCCTCTGCTCGTTTTGTCTTTTAAACAAAAGCAAAAAGAATATATACAGAAGTATATTTATTATATAGAATATGAATATCATATATACATATAATAAACGCAACATATATAATATATATGCATAATATATAAAGTAGTCATATAATATATATAATAG